TAAATATTTATGTTTTCATATTGCTGATATAATCTAATTAGTACCACTGAGTTTAATCTGAGAAAATATTTGATGTCTGGTAATTATGATAATGATTGTAGCTCATTGGGATTTACAGACTGATCTTGCATGCATTAATATGTTGAACAGTTGAATAAATTATGTGTTTTGTTCGTGAAGGCATTGCTCTACTCAAGAAAAACATGAATACTGGGTGAAATTTTATTTTCTCAATTTAACATTGATTATTTTATTAATCCATAAGAGCATTGTTTAATACAAAAATATTGCAGTATTCAAAATAACAATCATAAAACAGAACAGTATTAGAACTTTGTTCAGCATTTTAGCATCTATCAATGCATGACTTTCACTTGTAGTGAACTGTGGGTCGGGAACCGCAGATTTTCTCTCCTTTGCAAGGCTCGTCACGGCTGTCCGTCAGAAATCATGTTCCACGCTACAAGAAAGGCAATTAATTTTCATCAAATAAAAATTGTCGTAATACTGGAAATGAACCTCAAGTCTACAAAACAGCTGATATGCAAATTTCATAATTCATTCATGTATCTTCCTTTATCATTCGGAACAAAGCATAACTTAAGCCTCACCTGAAAGTGTCCTCGAGAGTGACCTCAAGGGAGGGGGCATTCTCGGGAGAGGTCACCCTGAACTTGAGCCCGTAACCTTCTCCGGGTGTGTCCACCACAAGGTCCAAAAAGACCGCTTGACCCTGAGAGTAAGGGACGGTGGTGGAGCCCTGCAGCCGCGCCCCTGGAGGCCCTCCTTCCAGACTCGCCGTCAGCATCCAGGGGGAGCCTTTGCTGCCCAGGCTGGTGACTCTGGTGCCCTGTGGGAGAGAGGGCATGGCTGGGATACTTGGCTTTAGGTTCGTCTTCTTGCAACAATGAGCGGCAGGTATAAACTGAGACTGAAACTACACAATGACAAAATCGCTGTTTAAACGTCTGGTAATTAAATGAACAACGAGATTAATTCATACACCGGTAGACAAATCCTAGTCCATGAATGCAAGACCCTCCGCCCGAAACGGAATCCGGAAACTCACATCTTCTGCGAACACGGCAACGACCACCGCAAAGGCTTCGTCGGCCATCACTACCTCAGGAGGCTCCAGCACGACCTCCGCGTACGCCGGCCGAAGGAACACCTCTCCTTCGAGAAGCTGGTCTAGCTCCTCCTTCTCCAGTTGCTGCTGGCGAACGCTGTACAGAGGGGCGTCGTGTGCGAGCAGGGCGGCGAACTGCTCGTTTGGAGACTGCATTTCCGGACATCAGGGGGGCGACGGGGGTACTTGACCTTCGCGAAAAAAATGTTCGAAAAAAATGTGAACAGAATTTCAACAGTTGTTGATACATAAAAATATATAAATATAAACAATGATTTAAGAACTCCAAAATAAAGTACTTTAAATAGAAGAATTGCGAACAATAATACGCAAACAACTATTTTGCAAGTTACTTCGAGAAATGGAACAAAGAGACCAGAGAAAAGGAACCCCACATTTAAAACGACACAAATTTATAAAAAACAACAAATCATATTTCAAAAGTAGATTACTTAAACACAACCAAACTAGTTGAAACAGACAGTCACGTATACATACAAACGAACTGACACAAACCCACTTACTTTGAGACTGACGATGTTCGCGCCGCACCCAAGGCTTTGGAAACAGTCGACGACAACCCCGAGACGATTCAACAGGTCGTCATAAGTCAGGGCGTCTCCCCCTATCGCCTGCCCCGCCCCCCGGAGGGAGCTCAGCGGGGCGCCGCTCACCTCCACCTGGAGAGAGATTCGGAATTTTAGGGTAGCTGTAACTGATCGTCGGGGATGGTTGTTCGCTGACACGTGTGTGTGTGTGTGTGTGTGTGTGTGTGTGTGTGTGTGTGTGTGTGTGTGTGTGTGTGTGTGTGTGTGTGTGTGTGTGTGCGTGTGTGTGTGTGTGTGTGTGTTGTGTGTGTGTCGTGTGTGTGTGTGTGTGTGTGTGTGTGTGTGTGACCTTCCCGGAATTCTTCGTTGATGACGATGATAGGGACAATGACAATCATCAACATCACCATCATCATCGTTATGATGATGGTGATGTTGATGATAACTGTCATTGTTGTCCTCAAAATCATTCTCTAACCATGAGGATTGTGACGATACTAAATGTTATAATGACAAGGAATACAATATACTACAAAAACAAAACAAGACCAAAGTGTAGTAATAAAAAAAGAAAAAAGAAACTCACCTCAACATTAACAACAGAAGAAGCGTTCCTCCTCCTCCTCCTCTTCCTGCCACCCCCCTCACTCCCCTCACTCCCTCGCCCCTCGAATCCTCCCGGACGATCTCCGTCACCCTCACGTTCTCAGGAGCAACGTTCAGCAGCAGCGCCACGTTCCGCACGACCTCCTCCGCCTCGTAGAAGTCGTCCTCGCTCACCAGGATCCCCAGCGACAGGACGACCACCGGCGAGGTCCTGATGTCGTAGGAGTGGTTGCCTCCGCGGACGACCAGGTGGAGGAACTTCGACTCCCGCGCAAGGTAGTTCGATCCTGCGGCCTGGGGGTGGGGGGGGGGGGGGGGGAGGAGGAGGCGTTTTAGTAAGGGGTGATAACGACGGCGAGAAGGAAAAGAAAAGGAATTAAAGATACGAAGAGAAAGGGAAGGAAAGAGGAAAGAAACGAAAAGATAAAAAGAAAATATATCAAAAGAAAGGAATGGAAAAAAGTAAAAAAGTAGAGAGGAAAAGAAAGACAAAAAAGAGGGAGGAAGTGTTTAGTAAGAGGTGAATGGTGAAGACAAATGGAAAGAAAAGAAACGAAGAAAAATGAAAAAAAAAAAAGGAAAAACTGAAAAAAATTACAAAAAAGAAAAGAAACAAAGACAAAAAAAATTAAGAACAGAAGATCATAAACCAAACCCCCCCCCACCCATCCACTCCGCCGCCCACCCGCACCCACCCCAAGACCCTCCCCTCACACTCACATCCTGCAGCGCCGGATAGAAGGCCTCCGGGTCGTCGGGATCCTCGGGCAACAGCTGATAAGATCCCGGGTACGTCTCCGGGTCGACGTTGGTGGGAGGGACGAAGGAGCCGTCGACGTAGACGTCAAAACGCTGCGTCATCGGGTAGAAGAGACGCAGGAGGAGGACTTCGCTGGGGTCCGAGTGCAGGAGGTGGAGGCGGAGTTCCTGCAGGAGTGGGAGGAGTTAGGAGGGAGTAGGGGTTGGGTCGCCTTTGCTCTGATTGGTGGAAGGGTATTCTGGCGACATTATCCTGATCGGAGGTTAAATTCACACACACCACACACACACACACACACACACACACACATACACATACACACACACACACACACACAAACACACACACACACGTACACACACACACACACACACACACACACACACACACAACACACACACAACACACCACACACACACACACACACACCACACACACACACACACACACACACACACACACACACACACACACACACCACACACACACACACACACACACACACACACCACATAATATATATATATATATATATATATATATATATATATATATATATATATGTGTGTGTGTGTGTGTGTGTGGTGTGTGTGTGTGTGTGTGTGTGTGTGTGTGTGTATCTATGTACGTATGTATGTATATATCCCCAGAAGAAGATAAAAATCCATTGCAAAAGAAGCAAACAAGCAAAAAAAGTAATCCCAAATAGAAATTTAAAAACTCCAATGCAAAATAAACTAAATCTTGCTCATCCTCCCCCCTTCCCCCTCCTTACCTGCGGCGGAAGTGACGTCATGGCCACCTCGTACACCTGGCCGGAGGCGACGACGGAGTAGAAGGTGGAGAGGCGGCGCTGGCAGGTGTAGCCCAGGCACCATCCGTGGTCCATCGGGCCGTTCACGAGGTCGACGTATCCGCTCGGGCCTGCGACGGGAGGAGAGAGACAGCGGGGGTATTTTAATCTGTTTCTCAAGATAGATGTAGATAGAGACACGTGGATAAGTAGATATGATTGATAGTAATGATAATTTAGTTTTGATTAATTTTGTTATATTGGATTTTCTTTGCTGGGATATGCTATATGTTTCTTTGCTTCTATATTACCCCCTGTGTGCAAGGAATGGCCGGGGTCGCCATCCACTGGCAGTGCACGGAATTGAACGTGGGACAAGTAAACAGATATATAAAACAGGCAGAGACACGTAAACAGATAGATGTAACAGAGACACGTAAACAAATACATATAACAGAGACACACAAACAGATAGATGTAACAGATACGTAAAAAGACAGATATAACAGACAGAGACCCGTAAAACGGCTGACATAAACTGAGAGGGACACAGGAATAGACATATGAACAGAGCCTGGGAAACAAAAGGATATAAGTAGACCGAGATCCGAAAACGGGCAGATATAAACATAAATAAAAACAGCCTAAGACCCGTAAACAAACATACAAAAATAGCCAGAGACGTGTAAACAGATAGACACAAACAGAGATAGGTAAACAGACAGAAAGAAAGAAACAAGAAACAAGTCAACAGACAGCCACAAACAACCAGAGAAGTCAACAGACAGCCACAGAGAATCCAAAGAGCCAGAGAAGTCAACAGGACAGCCACAGACAGAGATCCAAAGAGCCAAGAAGTCACAGACAGCCACAGACAGAGATCCAAAGAGCCAGAGCCCCGCAACCAACCCGGATTGGCGACGAGCGCGACGGGCGAGAGGCGTCGAACCAGCGAGTCGGCGTCGAGGCTCTCCAGAACCAGCATCCGGTGACGTAGGCCCGAGCAACGCCACGCCCTCCATGACGTCACGAAGCTGCATGAATCGTCTCTCACGATGCCTAATGGAATGGAAAAGAAAATATATGTATATAAATGAGAGTTTTGTTCGGACGTATTTTATTATTATTATTTCTTTTCTTTATGTGTATATTTTGTTTCTTTTTTGTGTGTGTGATTTTTCAGGAACTATTTCTGTAGTGTATCTTTTTTCCCTGCATCTTTTTTGATCGTTCTAAATTAATTATTTCTTTATGTCAATTTTCTGGGAGTGACATTTCACTTTCATATTTTCGCAAACATAACCACCAACAATGAACAGGACCATCTAAGTACCCCCTTCCTCCAAATACAAACTCTCTCTCTCTCTCTCCCTCTCTCTATCTCTCTCTCTCCCCTCCCCTTTCCCTCTCCCTCTCCCTTTCCCTCTCTCTCTCCCCTCTCCTCTCTCCCTCTCCCTCCTCTCCCTTTCCCTTTCCCTCTCCCTTTCCCTTTCCTTTCCCTCTCCCTCCCCGTCCCCCTCCTTCTCTCCCTCTCCATCTCCCTCTCCCTCTCCCTTTCCCTCCCTCCCTCCCCCTCCCCTCTCCCTCTCTCCCTCTCTCCCTCTCCCTCTCCCTCTCCCTCTCCCTCTCCTTGCTCTCCTCTCCCTCTCCCTCCCCCTCCCTCTCTCCCTCTCCCTCTCCCTCTCCCTCTCCCTCTCCCTCTCCCCTCCCTCTCCCTCTCCCTCTCCCTCTCCCTTTCCCTCTCCCTCCCTCCCCTCCCTCTCTCCCCTCTCCCTCTCTCCCTCTCCCTCTCCCTCTCCCTCTCCCTCTCCTTCTCCCTCCCTCTCCCTCCCCTCCCTCTCTCCCTCTCCTCTCCCTCTCCTTCTCCCCTCTCCCCCTCTCCCTACCTCCCCTTCCTCCCCTTTCCCTCTGCTCCCTTTCCTCTCCCTATTCCCTCTCCGTCTCTCTATCCCTATCCCTCTCCCTTCTCCTTTCCCTTTCCCTCCCCTCCCCCGCCCCCTCTCCCTCTCCCTCTCTCCTCTCCCTCTCCCTATCCCTATCCCCCTATCCCCTATCCCTATCCTATCCCTATCCCTATCCCTATCCCTATCCTATCCCTATCCCTCTCCTCTCCCTATCCCTCTCCCTCCCTATCCCTATCCCTATCCCTCTCTCTCAGCCTATCTATCTATACATCTACCCATCTCTCAAATACACACGCGCTGGCTCTTGCTTTCGAAAGACGTGCACCCACTCTGCTTTTCAAAGATGGCGCCTTTGTTGGGGAATTTCTCCTCCGCCGGGATCTCGGAGCCGTCGACGCGCTGCCGGAGACTGACGGGGATCCTGTAGTCGCCGACGCCTCTCGCGGGGTCGCCGTCCCACTCGAACTCCGCCTGCGAGGTGGCGGTGGCGTTGGCGGCGCCTGGGGTGGGGGGGGGGGGGGGAAATGGGGAGGAAAAGAGGGAGGGGAGGAGAGGCAGAGAGAGGGAGGGGGAGGCAGAGGGAGGAAGGGGGGGGAAAGAGGAGGGAGGGAGGGGAGGAATGGGAAGGAAAAGAGGGGGAGGGGGAGGAAAGGAAGGAGGCAGGGGAGGGAAAGAGGGAGAAATGGGGGAGTAAGGGATAGGAAAATAGGAGGCAGGGGGATGAAAAAGAGGGAGGGAGGGAGGAAGAGAAGGAAAAGAGGAGGGAGGGGAAGGGGAAAAGAGGGAGGAGGGGAGGCAGGGGAGGAAAAAAGGGAAGAAGAGGAAGGAAAAAAGAGGGAGGGAGGAGGGTGAAGCAGGGGGGAGGAAAAGAGGGAGAAGGGGGATGGGTAGGGGAAAGGGGAAAGGGAGGTAAGAGGAGGGAGAGAACAAAGGAGAAGGGGGGTCGTAAGAAAAAGGTGGAGGAAATGAAGAGTTGAGAAGAGAGAAAGAGAGAGTTAAAACAAATGAATAAGAGGTAAAAGAAGGCGGAAAGAAAAGAAAAAAAATCATTGATGGACGGAAAAGAGGAGAAAGGAAATAGAGGAAATAAATAAGGAATGAGGAGGGAAAGAGAAAATTACGAATTACGACATTTCTTCCTAATATACGACATGTACAGTCATTTACAATCACCATAAGTTGAACATATTCCATTTTTTCCATTTATCATATTCAATTTTTTTCTTTAATTCCTAAACATCAGAACACATTTTGAATTAAAATCGAGCCTAAAAGTGCTCTCTAATTGCAGAATATCATATACAAATTTACATCCTCGATGAGAGTATCATGAAATCACACAGAATTCCTGAATATAATTAATGATAATAATTTTTATAGTAATCGATAGTAATAATAACAATAACAATAAGAACAAGAATGATAATAATAAGAACTGTAATAATGTAATAATATAACAACAATAATGATAATAATAATAATAATAATAATAATAATAATAATAATAATAATAATAATAATAATAATAATAATAATAATAATAATAATAATAATAATAATAATAATAATAATAATAATAATAATAATAATAATAATAATAATAATAATAATAATAATAATAATAATAATAATAATAATAACAATTGTACCAACAGTGATAATGATAATAACAAAATAATAATAATAATAATGATAATAATAATAATAAATAATAATAATAATAATAATATGATAATGATAATGATGATGATAATAATAATAATGGTACTACTACTACTACTACTACTACTAATACTAATAATAATAATAATAATAATTAATAATAATAATAATAATAATAATAATAATAATAATAATAATAATGAATAATAATAATAATAATATATAATATAATAATAATAATAATAATAATATAGAAATAAAAATAATAACAATAATAATGATGATAATAGCATCATTATTATTATCATTATTACCAAAACAATAATAAAATAATGATAATATAATAATAATAATAATAATAATAATAATAATAATAATAATAATAATAATAATATAATATAATAATAATAATAATAATAAATAATAATAATAATAATAATAATAATAATATAATAATAATAATAATAATTAATAATAATAATAATAATAATAATAATAATAATAATAATAATGATAATGATAATAATAATAACAATAACAATAACAATAATAATAACAAAAATAATAATAAATAATAACAATAATATATTAATATATTATTATTATTATCATTATATCATTATTATTATATAATAAAAAATAATGATAATAATAATAACAATAATAATGATAATAAAAACAAAAAATAATAATAATGAAAACAAAAAAAATGACAACAATAATAACAAAAAGTAACACCAACACAATAACAATAACATGATATCAGCAACCAACAAAAAAATAATAACCCTTACCAACCCAGAGACAAACAACACAACAACCATAACCACCCCCAGAATTGCTCACAGATCACAACACGCACAACACACACACTGAGTTCCCGAAGGTGCAGTCTTACCCAGCAGAGTGCCGTCCATATCCTGCACTATGACCTTCTTCAGGCCGTCGCAGTCCATGTCCACGCAGTCGGCAGGTCGTACGAGGTCAAGATTTGGTCTACGAGGAGAGAAAGGGGTGAGTGTGGTTGGGGGTTTATGTGGGCGAAAGGGGAGGGTGGTTGGGGGTTTTGTGGCTGTGAGGAGGGAAAGGGGTGAGTGTGGTGGGGTTATGTGGGCTGTGAGGAGGGCAAGGGGTAAGTGTGGTTGGGTTTTTGGGCTGTGAGGAGGGAAAGGGGTGAGTGTGGTTGGGGGGTTTATGTGGGCTGTGAGGAGGAGAAAGGGGGTGAGTGTGGTTGGGGGTTTATGTGGGCTGTGAGGAGGGAAAGGGTTGAGGGTGGTTGGGGTTTTGTGGGCTGTGAGGAGGGAAAGGGGTGAGTGTGGTTGGGGGTTTATGTGGGCTGTGAGGAGGGTTTGTGGTTGGGGTTTGAGGAGGGAAAGGGGTGAGTGTGGTTGGGGTTTATGTGGGCTGTGAAGGAGAAAAGGGGTGAGTGTGGTTTGGGGTTTATGTGGGCTGTGAGGAGGGAAAGGGTTGAGGGTGGTTGGGGGTTTATGTGGGCTGTGAGGAGGGAAAGGGTTGAGGGTGGTTGGGGGTTTTGTGGGCTGTTGAGTTGGTTGGGGTTTATGTGGCTGTTGAGAAAGGTTGAGGGGTTGGGTGTGGGCTGTGAGGAGGGAAAGGGTTGAGGGTGGTTGGGGTTTGTGGGCTGTGGCAAGGGTAATGGTGGGGGTTTGTGGGCTGTGAAGAGGGAAAGGGTTAAATGTGGTGTTTTTTGTGGGCTGTGAGGAGGGAAAGGGGTGAGGGTGGTGGGTTTTGTGGGCTGTGGGTTAAATGTGGTAGTTTTTTGTGGGTTGTGAGGAGGGAAAGGGTTAAGGGTGGTGTGGGGTTTTGTGGGCTGTGTGGAGGGAAAGGGGTAAGTGTGATGGAGCTTTCGTTGTGGAGTGTTAATCTTGAAACGAGTAAATGAATTAATAAATTAATATAGAATAAAAGTTTATTTTAATGAAGTATCCGCTTGTAGGATATGAAAAAATGTCTGTTTCAAAGAAGGAAAAAAGTGTCTGTTTTGAAAAAATGTATTTTGTCGAAAGCATTTCAATTATTCATTTATTTATTCAACTCATTTTAACTGTTTTGTTATTGCAGTGGAAGATGTAACACTTTCATGATATTTGCATTTATGAGTAAATGTACATTAGTAAATAGCATGAAACTATGAAAAGATATTAAATCATAATATTAAACTAGCGAGCAAATAATGCCAGCGTCCCCGTGTTTATGCATATACGCATGTGTGTGTGCCCGTGCGTTCGTGCATACATGAGTGTATGTGTTTGCGTGCGTGTTGTATCTGCCTTTACATCCGTATCTTTACCTGTGTTCGCATTTGTATTTGTATCTACATCCGTTCCTGTATCTCTATGCGTATCTGCATCTTCATCTACACCTACACCTACATCTACCGTATATCTATATCTCCAAACCCATGCGCCATCCCTGACTCCCGCGCTTCTGAAGTGTCCACAGCGACTCACTCGTGCAAATACAAGTAGTTCTCGGGCGGCGTGTCCACGAAGGAGAGGCCGCGCACGAACACGGGGTGGATGGCGTCGTTGGAGCCGCGGTTGGTGAGCAGCGCCACGTCCCTCCCGCAGCTCCTGGAGGCGTAGGCGACGAAGGTAACGTTGGTGATGTGTGTAGCGCCGTCGAGGGCAGGGTACTGGGCAGCGCCGTGGAATCCTTTGGGGCCCACTGGGGGGGGGAGGGGAGGTGGGTTAGGAAGGGTGAAGGAGGAGACGGAGAAGGAAGGAGAGGTGAGAAAGAGTGGGAGAGAAGGAGGAGATGAAAGGTGAAGAATGAGAAGAAGGAAAAGGAGATGAAAAAGAGTAGGAGGGAGGGAGGAGAGGAAGAGTGAAGGAGGAGAAAGAGAAGGAAAGAGAGATGAGAAATAGTGGGAAGAAGGGTGAAGGATGAGATGGAGAAGGAAGGAGAGAGGAAGAGAAGATAAACGAGGAGAAAAGCCGAAAGAGAAGTGACGTGGATCTATCGCGTGCAAATATTTACAATTTATGATTTAAGTCATTATCAACATTCCAACCATTCCATCACCAAAGGCAATCACGAAGTCAACAAATAAATCTTTAATAAATGACGAAATGAATAAATCATCGAATGAATGAATAAATCAACAAAAAAGAAAGAAAGAAAATACATAAGAAAGAAAGAAAGAAGGTACATAAGAAAGAAAGAAAGACGATACATAAGAAAGAAAGAAAGAAGATACATAATTACACAGGTGAATACATACATAAATGAATGAATATATAAACAAACAAACAAAAAACAAGCAAATACACCGCCCGCAGCTCCCCTCAAGGCACTCACAGTTGGGCTTCGAGATGAACGAGGCGAAGAGGACGCCCGCGTGGCCGCCCACCGCCCCAGGGGACCAAAGGACGCCCGAAAAGAAGTCATAGACGGCAGAGCGGGCGGCTTGGACCTGACAGCTGTGGGAGGGAGACGCGCCCACGAAAATACTGTCGCGGGCGGTGGCTGTCTTCGGGTAACGGCGGTGCGAGAGGGCGGGCGGGCCGTACACCAGCTGGTTCACGCCCACCTGGTTGTCCACGGATATCACCTGGGCGGAAGGGAGGAGGTCGTGATTTGGTGTTGCTTTGTTTTATCTAATTATTTTTTCTTTTTTTTTTTTTCTTTTCCTTTCGTCCCTATTCTCTTGTTTCTTGGTTCTATTTTATTTCGTTCTTTCTCTTTCTTTCATTTCGGTTTCCTGTTTTTTTTATTCTATCTTTCTTTCCCAATCTTCATTATGGACTGGGCAATATGACTTTACAGTACGGTAGAAAAAAAAACTATCCTTAACTTAGCTAGAACTTAGGAATCACAACCTTACTTTCTCTTTATTTTTTTTATCTCAGCCACACACACACACGCGCACAAACAAGCAAACACACACACACACCAATAAACAAACATACATACAAACACTCCACCCCCACCCTCACCTATCCCCACCATCCCTACCCCTCCTCACCCCCACCCTACCCCCTATCCCCACCCCTACCCCTCCTCACCCCACCCCTACCCCCTTCCTCCCCTCACCCCTACCCCTTCCTCACCCTTACCCCCTCCTCACCCCCATCCCTACCCCCCTTCCTCACCCCTACCCCCCTTCCCCCACCCAACCCCCCTCCTTCCCCTCTACCCCTTACCCCCTCCTCACCCCCTCCCCTACCCCCCACCCGCACCCCAACACCCACCTCCTGCAGGACGATGCTGGCGTAATGCTGCATGTAGAAGGCCGCGTCCTGCGCCCTCCACACCGAGAACCCTCTGACGCGCCGGCACTCCTCGGGCGGCCCTCGCGTCCCGGTCTCCACAGCTGAAGGGGAAGGGAGGGATGACTACGGGGTATGGGAGGGAGGGAGGAGAGTAGGAGGAATGGGGAGGGAAGGAGAGAGGGGTGAGTAGGGGGTATGGGGGGAAGGAGGGGTGAGTAGGGGGTATGGGGAGGGAGGGAGGAGGGAGGGAGGGTGAGTAGGAGGAATGGGAGGGAGGAGGGTGAGTAGGGGGTAAAGGGAGGGAGATTAGGGGGAATAATGAGGGGAGAGATGGGTTGGGGATATGGGGAGGGAAGGAGGGGAAGGGAGAGAAGGAGGGGTAGGCGGGAAATGGAAGGGAGGGATGTGTAGGGCATGGGAATGGAAGGAAGGAGGGAGGGAAGGGGGGTAGGGGAATGGGGTGGAGGGAGGGGGTAGGGGGGAATGGGGAGGAAAGGAGGGATGAGTAGAGGGCATGGGAGAGAAGGAGTGGGGGAGGGAGGGGATGAGTAGAAAGTATGGGAGGAAGAGAGAGGAAAGAGGGAGGGAGGAAGAGATGGGTAGGGAAGGATGGGTAAGGGGAGTAGGAAAGGAAGGAAGAGGGGGAGAGGAAGGGAGGGGCCAGGTGAGGAAGAAAGGGCAGGAGGGGAAGGGGGAAGAGATGAGTATGGGAAATAGGAAGGGACTGAGGGAGGAGGGAGGGAGAGGGAGAATGAGAGAGTGGAGAAGAGAGAGAGAGAGAGAGAGAGAGAGAGAGAGAGAGAGAGAGAGGAGAGAGAGAGAGAGAGGAGAGAGAGAGAGAGAGAGAGGAGAGAGAGAGAGAAAGA